GCACAGCCAGTTAGCCTCCGCTAGTCTCTGAGCTAGCCCCGGCTCTCCGTTTGGATCCAACCGGAGCACCGAGCCCTGGTTTGTTATTCAGGTTAAAGTGGGAAGAAGCAGCGGGTTTATCGGGCAGCTGAGTGAAGTGGAGCCTGCGGAGGAAACACCGGGACCGTCTGGATGTAATAGTCCGTGGAGGTGCTGCGGTGCTCGGCTGCACAGATAGGAAACCCCTCGGCTGACAGGATGTACCACTCTCTCACTCCGCTCTCTCTCACGCAGGCGCACAACGTACGTGCTACTTGGCCGTCGGATGTAGTCCGTGTAGTGTGTTCAAATGCAACTGACACAGGGCGACGTGAGGCGACGTAGACGACGCAACAGTTGGCTTTCGTCGCCGCTGGTTCTTTGATGTCGGTTTGGTGTGTCCACACCTTAAGGTGGCATCGTCTGTATAAATGGGACAGGAGGTAGGACATGATGGGTGTGACATTTTGACGGCATGTTACGTGTGCGACCTTCTTGGAGATTTAAAAAGTAGCTGTTAGCAGTTAGCAGCTAACTCAAAGAGGAACAGCGGCTGAAAATAGTGAGGTCCAGGTGGTCCTTACCCTCCGAGCAGAGGACGAGGTCAGCCGCCATGTAACAGGGACTCTAAGTGATTGTTATTGTTTAGAAAGAGCTGCGGACACATACGTATGTCATGAGTCAAAGAGGCATGACTGGTGTGACATGTCATACCAGTCATGCCTTTTTTAGTTATGCGTCATCATGACGTGATGCTGTCGTCGTTTGGTTCTGTAAAATGTAAAGGAGGTGTAAAGACTTGGTCTCGGCTCCATAGCGCCACCTCTGTGTGAAAAGGACCAGAGATTGTCTCCTGACAAGAGTCTCATCTTGTGTGTGTCTCTGATCAGGTTTCTCCTGATCAATAACTGCTGGATCAGGATGCTCTTATCAAAGTGTCTCAGTCAGACTTCAGCTTCATGTCTCTTCTTCTTCGTTTGTGTTTATCGTCTCTGAAGGTGGAAACTGACCTCAGCATTTTACTGTTTATCATATCAACATGTTTTAGAGGTCACTGCTGGTGTTTTTTGGTGTCAGTCTAGTTTGTTGTGTAAATAATGATCCGCGTGATAAATCATGACCATGGACTTTCGTCTTTGTCTCATGACCTGTGCTGCAGGTTTTATCATCAACCAGTGATCATGTTCATTCTGTGTGAATGTGCTGGTTATTTCCTCCATTAATTATTTGGTTTGTAAAAGCAGTGAGTGAGAGATGTTGGTCACACTGAGCCAGAGACCAAAGGGACACCTTCACAATGTGGCGCAGTAAAATATTCCCCTCTGACATGAGGTGAAGCCGAAACAGAAAGAGCCATGAAGGGAAATTATTTATTTATTTTACAGAGTAAATGAGCCACAGTGTTGGCTGTTCCTGTGAGTCGGGGTTTTTCCACAAGAAGCTTTCTGTTTCTGTTACATTGATTATGTTGATATATCTGAAGCTGCTGATAGAGAACTGAACTGAACCAAAGTCCGAGGGAGTTAAGTTATGTTTTGGGGGAAAACCTTAAACTTAGTTTAGACTTAAATTGAAAGCAGGTTTTATTCTGTTCAGTGAATCATGTGGTGAGCTCACTCCTCTTCACCGTCTCTCTGGGTGCAGCGGCAGCATTAACCCTTCCTCCTCCCTCTCATGAACACTCAGCCTGTAACTCGATTATAAGACTGTTTTTAATTCCAAATATGAAGGCTGAGTTTACCATGAACTCTGAGCTGAGCAGGAGAGTTGAACTCTGACAAACTGACTGCTGTTACAAAAAAAACCCGCTGTGGTTCTCGGTTTTATTTCCTGTTTTTCGACTTCTCTCTGGCGGTGAGCTGAGTTTCAACACATATGAGTAATGGCAGAAGTTTCATCAGTGTTCAGATGCATCACCGAAAACTAAACTGAGACTGTGTTTTTATTCAGGGCTCTTCACTGTGTGTTATTCTGCAGGTTAAAGGAAACCTTATTCTGGATGGACTCATGAAGCGGGAAGAGATCAGTATCAGGCACAGAGAGCAGCAGCTGCAGCATTAACTCCTCCTCCTCCTCCTCTTCTCTCTGATAAACACTCTGCAGCCTGTGACTCCACGATAAGACTGTTTTTCAGTTGCAGATGTGAAGTTAAATATTTCACCATGAACTCAGAGCTGATCAGGAGAGTCAAACTCTGACAGTGCGTTTACTGCAACAAAAACATGTGATGCTGTTCTCCATTTTATTTCCTGTTTACGAGTTCTCTCTCTTCACCGTCTCTCTGGGTGCAGCCGCAGCATGAACTCCCCCCCCTCCTCCTCTTCCTCTTCTCTCTGATAAACACTCTGCAGCCTGTGACTCCATGATAAGACTGTTCTGAATACCAAATATGAAGTCAAATATTTCACCATGAACTCAGAGTCAAACTCTGACAGTGTGTTTACTGTACCAAAGACACACGCTGTGGCTCTTAGTTTTACTAGTTATATTTACGACGTCTCTCTGGCTGTGAGCCAAGTGACAACTGGATACAGAAATACAATAAGTTTCATCAGATGACTGTAACTGTAACTCACTGCAAACTAAACTGAGACTGTGGTTTTATTCAGGAGCCTTCGCTGCAGCTTATTCTGCAGTTTGAAGGAAAACATATTCTGGACAGACTCATGAAGCAGGAAGAGCGATGTTACAGCCTCAGAGAGCAGCTGCACCTCTGATAGACACTCTTATCACTCTTATCAGTGCTTCAGCCAAAGTCTAAATGTGAGGTCAGGTCACCATGAACGCTGAGCTGAGCAGGAGAGTCAAACTCTGACTGTGTGTTTACTGTAACAAAGACACACCCTGTTGGTCTCCATTTTAGTTCCTGTTTAACGAGCTCGCTGGCTGTGAGCCAAGTTACACTGAACCAACAGACCTCATTTCTCTGGAATGGCTGACATGAAACGAAACTTACACAACATTGTGTTTTAGGAGTTTTCCCAGCGTGTTGAAGACAAAGTGAGACACAGACTCATGAAGCAGGAAGAGATGAGTAACAACAGCATCTTTACTGAGCAGTTTGACAGTTTAGTCCTCAAACATTTCTTTGACTTGTTCACAGACAGCAAGCTCTGTGTGTGTGTGTGTGTGTGTGTGTGTGTGTTCATAAACTTCATCCTAAAATCATGCAGTTAACCCCTTCATCACTTCAGTCTCCTCCTCATCCTCACTGTGGACCATCTGGACTAAACACAGTGGGAATCAGCTCTCAGATCAGATTAGTCTCTTCATCATGATGAAGACTCCATGCAGCTGTGTCTGACTGGGTGTTTAAATATTTGTCTTGTGGTTGAAACACAGTGTAACCTGGGTGTGTGTGTCTGTACACAGAAGATCCTGAATGTGTCATGACATGTTTGACATTCAGATCAAATAAAGTGACCTGTGAAGTTTGATCATCAGCAGATCTGAAACACGTCAAACTGTTTTATCTAAATGAATCTGATCACAGTGTGTCTTTAGTGTTCTGATGTTTCTGTGTGATGTCGCGGCCCGTTCTTGCTTTGTCGGTGAGGTCGGCGTCAAACAACGATGATAAAAGCCCCCTTTTGCTGCAGTATGATACACTGCTGGCGGCGTCAGTTTGTGACACAGCTGGACGGAGCCTTTCAGGGTTATGATACACCGCCAGTCGACTAGAAAGCACCTGTCGCAGCAGTATCATGCCACACTGAAGGGTTTCAGTCTGAGACACTGCTGTGACGGCGTTATTTAAGGAGCTGGAGGTGCCCGCTGTACGAATGTTGAGCCAAACTATGTTTGTTTCTAAACCTGACCACATGGTTTTGTTAACGGAGCGTCACCAGCAGACACTAAAGGATGCACAGTGTGTAACATATAGATGTTAGCAGTGATATGTTACAAATGTGTTCGACGTTCAGTGAACCTGTTGTCACTCTTCTGCTGTCGTCGAGCTCACTGCTGATTTTCATCATGGAGGGCCTGCTGGACACAGGCCTGTGTCCTTACTGAGGCCTGCTGGACACAGGCCTGTGTCCTTACTGAGGCCTGCTGGACACAGGCCTCCTGTCTCGGCCTTCACTTGCAAAATGTTTCCAGATTAGATACAGGCCAGGACGAGAGTCAAAATGAGCACAGAGATGCAAAGAGGCTGCAAGAGACACAAAATAACTGCAGAACCAGACACAACAACTTAAAAGACACAGAAGAGAGAGAAAGACGACACAAGAGGCAAAGCTACAAAGTGTGTGTGTGTGTGTGTTGCTCCTCTGTAGGACAGTTGTTGGGTCTTATATGTATGTTGTAGTGCAGATGACGTGACTGACTCTCACCAAATCTTTGTACATGCTAACAGAGGAGAAGCAGATCAGATCTGATCTGTCTGATTGACAGGAAGCAGCAGTTTATGCAACAGAAAGCTCCTCTTAATGTGTGTGTGCATGGGAAGGCAGGTAGGAGTGTTACATATCTGTGGTCTGATACTGCTATAAATTGTCATGCTGTATCAATTATTTGGCTTTCTCATGAGTGAACCCTCACATGTTCACTTCTGTGTGTTTTCAGCCTCTTTAGTCCACGACAATCTGTGCCACGAGGGCACATTGTGAGCTTCCGTGTCTGTACTTCTTGTAAGTTCAGCCCATTTCCGAGACATCGCTCCTCTGTAGAGCAGAGTGAAGCTGCTGCGCTGCCCTCTGCTGTCTGTCTCACTGCTATGACATCATGCTTTCTTTCAAAACACTGTCACACATGTTGTTGCACATTTAAACAAATCATGATTATTTTTTTATTAATTCACTGATATAAATAACATTTGCAGCAGAGGGGGCGTGGCCCTGCAGTGTTCTGATGACACACACGTCTCTATCTGTAGACACACAGAAGGTGGCACTGAACAGATAAACACGGTGCATTCAGAGGTCAGAGGAGACCAGTTAGTGAGCCGTCACTGGTTGGGCTGGTGTGAAGGTGTGATGGTGGACCTCAGGGAAGAGTAGATGACCTGTGGCTCTGCTGGAGGCTCTGAACAAACAAATAAACAAACAATATAACACATTTGTTGACACATTTGCTCGTCAGTCGTCTTCCTCTGACAGTCTTGTGTTTGTGTTAGAAATCTGTGGTGTTTGACAGGAAGTGAGCTCAGACACCAAAAGACCATCTGTGGATCAGTCACCTCTGGGGGTCAGGTTTGCAAGTCTTGAGTCTCTGCACTGAAGTCCCAAGTCATATCCCAAGTCCTGCACCTTATTTCGAGCCCCGAACCAGTCCCAGCCTGCTCTTCAACTACTGTGATGCTATTTTAACTAAAGCTATTTTAACTAACTAAAATTTACAAATATCATAAATGCCTTTTAAAAATTGTATTGATTTGTTAAAACAAATTATATTATATTAAATTATATTATAGGGCTGTAACATGTTAAAAAAAATCGAATGAATGCATATAATTTAATGATCTAGGCTAATATTAATGGGCTAATATGATAAGACCAACATGTCTGTTTATATTTAAAAAAATATTGAGAGAATTTGGAAATAAAAAAAATATAATAATAATAATAATAATAATAATAATTTCTAATGCCACATTTTATTTTTTCTGTTCCATGCTTTACTCGTGTGCCACAATAATGTAACTTTTTAATGTAACATATCTTTATTTAAGGGCTTTTCCGAGCTAACATTGATATATGCAATTGTTTGCACGGTGGTGTGGTGGTTAGCACTGTCGCTTCACAGTAAGAGGGTTCCCAGTTCAATCCCGGGTGTGGGAGCCCTTCTGTGCAGAGTTTGCATGTTCTCCCTCTCCGGATACTCCGGCTTCCTCCCACAGTCCAAAGACATGCAGGTTAGTTGATGGCTCTAAATTGTCTGTAGGTGTAAATGTGCGCGTGAATGGTTGTCTCAGGGTTCCCGCTCTTTTCTAGAAATTATTTTCCAGGACGTTTTCAGCTGCGACAGTATGAGTCAAGTTATCACACCGTACACTAATACATCCCAAATCAGATCTTATCCCGCGGTGCAAAAAGCTCAATATAAAACAAAGCAATGTCACTGAAATAAAAATGAGTTTTTATCTTTTATTCCTTATCTTGCATTATTTCATCTACTCATATTTTATTGCTCAGTGTGCATTAGTTACATTTTTACTTCATTTCCTGCCAAGCCCTTTGAATTGTATTTGATTTGTTTAAAAGTTGCAAAATATTGACTGATTGATAGCTGTAATGCTAATTTAGCCATGTTGAATCCCATTCATTTATGCTAACAACATTAGCAATAAGAACTGCCAGCCAAGTCTTTAGTTGTCACTGCCTCCCCTCCCTCTCATTTAAGGGCTGCCTCTGCCCTGTGGTCTGTGTGCATCTCACTTGGGTGTTGACAACTCCTTTGACTGGAAAGTAGCTAGCTAAAAACTGCATGAAAAGTTGCTAATCTCTAATTCCTTATAATTATACAGTATTTTAATAGAGCTATGTTCCTAATGACGTTTTTCTCATTCACATATTTTCTGTTTCTGCTGACAGACGATGGAACAAGTGTGAAATACTGAGTGGCTGCGGCTCTACTGAAATCAGAGATGTTTGATCTCACAGCCAACAGTATTAAATGACACGCCCACTACAGCTCTCTGCTGCTCCTGTGTCTGTCACTCAACAGAGGAGCAGCAGAGAGGAGAGAAACAGTTCACACTCGATATACAGCAATGCAGCAAAATTCCTGAAGTGAAAGTCGCTAGTTTTTGGCGCTTCTTTGGAAAAAATAAGTCCTTACTGGGGTCTGAAAAGTCGAAAACAAATCTAGCGACAAAGTCAAATGAAAACACAGCAAATTTGATTGGCTGGTAGCGTCACGTGGGGCGCTGTGCTGGCTCGAGGCAGAGAAGCGCTGCAGCTCAATTTTGACAGCTGAAAACAGACATGTATGCGCAAAATTTGAACAGAGAATTTAAAAAAGGCAAACATTTTTCATTACTGGAGTAAACTCGGGCCACATTTAACAACAGTGAAACTATACCTATACAGCCGTTAACAAACTCTCACGTAATGTGGAGGCAACACATCCTCACTGTGACCTCGTCACATGTCCACGTTTGGTCATGGACTTTCCACGTCCACATATGACGTCCAAGGTACCCTGGGTGTGTTGGTTGTTGACGTTCTGGGACGCCGTGTCAACTTCAGCCTGTTACATGCATTGTCTGTTTTCAAAATACACTTCTGTTTTCACAGGAAATGTACAGTTTGCATATAGTCTCTTTCAAAATAAAAGCACTACATCGGTATAACAACATAAATTGACGTTGTTTTCCTTCAACAACACACACACGTGGTTGGGTTTAGGACAAAAGAACAGGGTTTGACCTTACAATCTTACAGGAAGTGAACACCGGCCTCCTGGGTGAAAGTCAGTGGTTGTTGGCCCCATCCACTGGACCTCCCGCCCACCCCGCTCAGACAACCGCCACCTTTCGTTGTTGTCCCGCCCATTTCCCCCCGACTCCACTGGGCGGCAACTGGCAGTATATCATGCCGACGTGAAAGGACGTCTTTTTTTGTCTGTTACGGACACCAGAAGTCACTGACCAAGAGCTGGAATTTGACGACTTTGGAGTGAGACCACGTTGATGGAGTATAATCCAAGTTTAATATATCTAGTCAGATGCTCAGGACTTCACAAACACATGACTTTTCACTAAAACATAATTTAAAACACACTCTAATGCACGGCCGAAGAGCATCGGGGGCACTGCTCGAAGGCAAAGTGTTTTAAATTATAACATTTTTGTGAAGAGTTGTGTTTGTGATGTCATGAGGATTCGAGTGGATCAATGAGACGTAGATTATACTGCATGAGTTGTGTGAGAGTTTGTAAACAGATGTTTTGATATAGTTTGCAGTTGTTAAATGTGGTCCGACTTTAATTCATGAATTCGGGACAATACGTGGTGTGTAACTGATACACAGATGGTCATTTTGTGGGCGAAATATTCTCTAAGCACACAAACCATCCGAGGATTTTCAATAAATGCATAATTCACAAAATAGATTAGCTGTACCTCTCGTCCTGTTTGGTTTGATCACTATTTGTCCATAACTGACGTCTTCAGTTCTTCTCACTGCTGAATAAACTGCAGCTGGATCCTCTGGAAAGAAAAGAAATGTGATACCAGTGATGTAACAGTACTGTTGGTAAACCGGCAGCTGGTGCTGTAACACAAAAACAGTACCTAGAATATCAAAAGTACCACATTAAAAATAAATGTCATTATTTATACGATGAAATATACTGTAGGAAGTTGATGACCTGAAGCCTCAAATATACAGAAAGTCTGAATCAAACAACAGTTTTATATTTTGTCTTTTTAACATCAGTGCTGTGAAAGAGGAAGGAGACGACATTTAGCTGGAGGTTATATATGAAACAGTGGACGAACACAGAGCTGTTTGCTTCTATTAAAACCAGCTGACACATTTCACTGCAGCAAACACTGTTCGATCACGTCACCAACTTCAAAGTGGACAAAAAATCTGTAAAGGTAAAATTCAAATTGAATTTAAGTTGAAATTTAAAAACGAAGATGCTTAAGCTAAAAGAGCAACATCAGCAATTTAATGTCACTCCTGACGCTACGAGTTAGCATACAGTTAGCTAACATTCACTTTCTATTAACTCTGTTTTTAGAGGTAAATGGTGTAAAAATGTGAAAAGTGCTGCAGTGACTAAATGAAAATTCATCCATATGCAGACGATACTGTTTTATATCAGGAAGCTGATTCTTACAGTTGACCATAAGGAAACTATCACACTGCTTCAACACAACACAGGATGAACTCAGGAGGGCATGAAATATTTAAACACAAAGACAGACGTACTTTATCTTCTCCACACAGCTGAACAATCAGTGCAGGAAACAATACCCACATAGGACACAAAATACTCTTTTTTTCTCTTATTCCACAAAGACAATATTCTTACTAACCTGTTTAAATGTTTAATGAAAATAAATATTCCACTGATATTCTGTTTACATGCAGCTGTGCCTACTCTGACTAATGTGCCCTAACATGATGTTCAACACATCAAGATGTTGAAAAGTGGAACAACTGGAACCACTTGTGCCGTTTTGGTTCTTTGCATCAGAATAGGATTTTAAGTCTTCCCCCGGTGGTGGACGTGTTCGACCATGCAAACACAGCCTCCTGCTTTCAAGCCTTCAACCACCTTTTTAAGAAGGTCAGTGTTGTGATATTTGTGCATATCCAAGAACTTGTTGATATCCAAGTCTCTCATGATGTATAAAGTTGGTGTGTTTTTTCTTCTGAACAGAAATCTGGGCCTTTTTGGGAGCATACGTCTCTACACAGGCCTTCCAACTGTTGGCAAATTGGCTTGTGTGCAATAAACAGAGTTCTTTACATGTCAAAGAATGTTCCTGAAACCTGAATAATATCGTCATGTCCCACATGTCTTAATCGGAAAATGCCACATCTGAAATCAAATCTGAAATACTGTCATACTTGAGATAACAGTAGAATATTAGTGTGCATGTAAACGTAGACATTGATGGTGTTAGCACTGATATAAATGTATTAATTAGTCGCAGCTGTACCTCTCGTCCTGTTTGGCTCATTACTGACGGCTCTTCTAACAGCTGAGTGGACAGGAGCCGGGTCACTCTCTGGAAAACAAAGTTGCATATGAAAAGTTATCATTACTGCAAGTACTGCCACCACTTCAGCATTTGTAGTATTAATATCCATCGTCGTCAGGCGGCTAATAATGTTTTATATATGCATGAAATTAACAAAAGAAGGGAAGATGAATTCAGTAAAAACTAAAATAGAGTAGATAATAATTACATTGGATGAACAGATTATTATTTTGTTAATAAATAAACACATAACAGAGAACATACAGAGATAAGCAAATCTGCACATTTATTAATGTTTTTCAAATGACTTGACAAGCTATTGTGTCAAGAATCAGTGTGTTGGAGATCAAAGTCAGCCGAGTGTTTCAGCAGAAAACAGGAAACTGCAGAAACAGCAGCAGAGCTTCTGTTAACCTCCAAACACTTTGACCACAAAACTCACTTCAACACAGGAAAACAGCTTCTGATCATTGGGGCCAACAACCTCATGCACCAAAGAACCTTTCATTTGTGTTAGAATTAAAAAACTAAAAATAATCTTAACCCATGAATCGCCACAGATGATTAGATCGGATTAACCTGGCCCTCGCAGAGAAGGGACAGATAAACACACACTCACTGCACGTCATGGATGTGAATTAATATAACTAACACAATTTAAATAAATAATATCTAACATGTTTTAAAATATTAAACCTATATGTGAAATGTTGAGGGTCTCACCTTCAGGTTGCCGTCGGACACATCGTCTCACCAGTAGAGCCAGTACAACCACTAGCACCACACCGCAGAAGAATGGAAGGGAGAGCAACACAAAGACAGCAGGAGAGGAGGACAGAGGAGGAGAGGAAGAGGACGAGGAGGAGAAACCAGTAGCGGATGGCGATGGAGGAGGTGTGATGGTAGGTTTCCCTGGAACAATCAAATAAACACAAATAATTAAAAGCACTCTTTGTAGTCGTTTTGCATCTTTGTGGTTTTGTGTCTCTTTGCAGTTACTTTACGCTTTCATTTTGTATCTCTTTATAATTTTTTTGCATCTTTTTGTCGCCATTTTGCATTTTTGTTAAGTGTCTCTTTGTAGTTGAATTTGTTTGATATTTCGCATCTTTATGGTTGTTTTTGCATCTCTTTGCTGTTATTTTGCAACTCTTTGTAGTTTTGTTAAAACTTTGAGGTTGAGTCTGTTCTTAGATGTTGTCTCTTTGAAGTCGATTTCTGTCTCTTACAAGGCGTTTGGTAACTCTTTGTAGTTGTTTTGTGTCTCTCTGTCGTCATTTTCCATTTCTTCAAAGTTGTTTTGCAACTTCTGGTCATTTTCCACCTCTTTGTTGTCAGTTTCCCTGACACAATAAAATAAGCAGAAATAATTAAAAGCACTCTTTCAGGTGATTTTGTGTCTCTTTGTAGTCATTTTGCATCTTTGTAGTTTTTTGTTTCTTTGAGGTTGTTTTGAGTTGAACTAGCAGCTGTTCTGAGTCTCTTTGTAGTTCTTTAGCATCTTTAAAGTTGATATGCATCTACCTGTCATCATTTTGCATCTCGTTGTTGTCGTTTTACAGCTCTTTGTAGTGTTGTTATAGTCTATTTGTTGTCGTCCTGTCTCTTTGTAGTTGATTTCTGTGTCTATGTAGTCGTTTTGCAAGTCTTTATAGTTTTTGTTCTTTTTGACCTTTTCACCAACTCTTTGTAGTTGTTTTGTGTCTCTCTGTAGTCATTTTGCATCCTTGTAGCTGTTTCGAATCCGTTAAGTTGTTCTGAGTCATTTTGCAACTCTGTAGTTTTTGTTGTGTTTTCAAGGTTGTCTTCGGTCTGTTGACTTTCTGTGTCTCTTTGTAGTCGTTCTGCAACTTTCTGTAGCTGTTTTGTGTCTATTTGTAATTTTTGTCTCTCTGAGGTTGTTTCAAGTCTATTTGTTGTCAGTTTGTGTTTCTTTGTATTTATTTGTCATGGTTCCTTTTTAGTTTCTTCGAGGTTGTGTTGTGTGTTGCGTATCTTTGACCTCCTGACCTGTGACAGTGAGCCAGCTGGGTGGAGACTCTCCATGACCTGTGATGTCACACTTGTAGAGGCCTTCATCAGACCTGGTTACATGGCGGATGGTCATGTGACCTGCAGGCTCTGTCCTGATGAAGGAGCCATCTTTATAGAAAGCAGCTGGGAGGTTGGAGGACGTCTTTGTTTTACAGTGCAGAGTGACATCATGTCCCTCCATCACAGGGAGGACAGGACTCTGCAGGATCACTGATCCACCTCAACACAGAGACAAACTACAGCATTTCATCCATTTACACACAGCTTCATCAACACTGACTCCACAGTCTGATCTTACCAGTGACACTGATGTTGATGCTCTTACTGGTTGCTCCCTCTCTGGACTCACACCAGTAAACTCCACTGTCCCATGGGAGGATGTGTAAGGTACAGACAGAACCAGCAGGTTTTCCCCAGTCATCACACTCAGCTCTTGTGTCTCTGGTTGTGTTCCTCCTCAGAGTCCATCCAGCAGAGCTGTCGTCCTCCTCACAGCTCAGAGAGACAGACGTCCTGCTGAAGAACTGAGAGCTGCTGGGACTCACAGTCAGAGAGGCTGCAGGGAGGAGTTTATTATATTTTCAGCAAAATGTTCAGTGTTAAAAAGATGTCGATAAACCTGCTAACCAATTTGCCATCATTCAAATAAAAACAGAGACCCTGTGGTCTGGATCATTGTCACTTCAGTCTGTGGTCATTTCAATCTGAACACAGTGTGTTTTCTCATGAAACATGTACTGACCTTGGGTAGTTGTGCAGATCAGCAGTGAGGTCAGGACTAAAGAGAAATCAGACTGTGGTTGGTTTGAGGTTTATAATCACAAGATGGTTCTGAAGAAGAAAAACTTTTGGCTCCCGGATCAAATGAAAAAGTTAATTTGAATTAAAGTTCAGCTGCTTAGATAATGAATCGTATGAGATTTATGTGTAAACAGCAAATATCAGCCTGTCATGGATCAGAGCGCTGACCACAGAGCAGCTCTCTGTTTTATGTCTAAGACAAAGACCTCGAGAGGCAGGAAGTGTTGTGTGGTGGGAGGTGAGAATGTCGTTTAACACTGTGGAGGTTTTTCCATTAAATGTCACATTTACTTTGTTTCATGAACAGTGTGGTGACCTTTCCAGCTTCCTGTCTGATATAAGTTGATATAAAGCCAAACACACCTGAATCATTGTTTCTGAAATCAGATTTTTTTTTCTTATGAACTTTTGACCTGAGCAAAGCTTCATCATATTTGTCAGTGAATGTCGTATCTTCCGCTCTATAGATCATTCTTAATAGTATACAAAGCTCTAAATGGCCTTGCACCTCAGTATATAAAAGACATGCTGACTGGATACAGAACAGCAAGAGCTCTCAGGTGCACAGGCAGTGGTCCTTTAACCATCCCACATACTAACTCTGGAGCAGGAGACGCTGCCTTCTGCACTTCTGCCCCAAGAAGACCTGAGAAAGGCCCCCACACTGAACACCTTTAACAGCAGGTTAAAAACCTTACTTATAAAACTGCCTGTGGCTAAATTCCTTCCCAAGATTCAAACCATGCATTTTGTACTCACCGAGCGGCCACAGAAGAGGTGCGTGTCCCATGGTACCATGTAGTGATGAAGACGTGTCTCTCTCACAGCGGTTAAACCCTTGTCTCCCTGAGCAGGGCTGAGCTCACTGTCTCTGTGGTTTTGCTCTCAGCAGTAAACAGAAAAAAAAGATGTGTTAGTTCTGAAGTATGGGCGAACGAACGCAAAGAAAGTAGGTCAGCTCAAAACATCCTGCGAAAAATAATCATGCAAAAAATTCTGTCTTGTTTGTTGTGACGAGGTCAACTCAGTCACCTGAAGAACATCTTGGCACTGTGGGCAGTTTAATACAAATCATATCAATATGGCTACAGTGACGTAGAGTATGAGCTGACTTTGTCCCCAGGAGGTGGATGGTGGATGGCGTTTTACTGTCAAGACCGTGACAGTGACAGACAGCAACACCGGTTGGTTTTCAGCAACCTGTGGCCACTTGTCCAACGACTGCTGTGCTAAACATTGCAGCTTTTTCAGTGACCTTTGTGCCACCAACAGTCAGTGGTTTTCAGCAACCCATTGCCATGTTTCCAGCCACTTTTGTGCCACCAAATGTTGGTGCTTTTTAGCCGACCATTGCTGCTTTCTCATTGGCTTTTGTGCCACTAAGCTTCAGTGGTTTTTAGTGACCCATCACCGTGTTTCCAGCCACTTTTGGACCACCAAACATAGGGGTTATTTAGCCAACTGTTGCCACTATTTCAGTGGCAACAGTTGGCTTCTGTGCCACCAGTTCTCAGTGATTTTAAGCAACCCATCGCTGCGTTTCCAGACTCTTTTGTGCAACCAAACATGGGTGTTTTTTAGGGACCCATCGTAACGTTCAGCTGCTTGTGTGCCATCAAACGTTGGTGTTTTTTAAGCAACCATTGACACTTTCTCAGTGGCTTTTGTGCCACCAAGCTTCAGTGGTTTTTTGTAACCCATCATCACATTTCCAGATGCTTTTGGACCACCAAATGTAGGTGTTTTTAGGTGACCCATTGCCACGTTTCCAGCCACTTTTGTGCCACTGAATGTTAGTGTTTTTTAGCCAAACATTGCCACTTTCTCAGTGGCTTTTGTGCCAAGTGTGGGAGTGTTTTAGCAACCTGTTGCCAATTTCTAGCCAATTTTATGCCATCAAACGTTGGTGGTTTCAGCCAAACATTGCCACTTTCTCAGTGGCTTTTGTGCCACTAAGCTTCAGTGGTTTCTTGCGACCCATCATCACATTTCCAGATGCTTATGGGCCACCGAATGTAGGTTTTTTTTGGCAACTGTCACCTCTGCTTCAGAGGCTTTTGTGCCACCAAATGTCAGTGGTTTTAAGCGACCCACTGCTGCGTTTCCAGACACTTTTGCGTCACAAATGTGGGTGTTTTTTGGCAATCTGTTGCCAATTTCCTGCCACTTTTGCACATCCAAACTTGGGGTGGTCTTTCAGTGATCCGTCGCTGCGTTTCCAGCCACTGTGTGTCACCAAATGTGGGTATTTTAAACCAAAACGTGATCTTTCCCTGACCAAACCAAAGTGTTTTTTGTGCCTAAACATGACACACGAGGAAGTTTCAATGTATCTGCTGCTAACGTGCAGCTGCAGCGTATCCATGGTTTGCAGAAATATACAACGTCAACATTTATTTTCTCTCAAAATTTTTGGAAGAAACGACTGATTTTTATTCATTTATTTTCTACAAAGCATCGTCACATAGAGACACAGTCTTTAAGGAATAACTTCAATTTACCAAACTTAGTCTCAGGTGCAAACAGGTGAGCAGTGTTGTGTTCAGGTGGTATTATATTTGTGTTATCAGACTCCATGTTAAAAAAAAAGGAAGCTCAAACTTTCTCCAGCCCTGATTGGCTGAGAGGACAGGAGGAGGAGGAGGAGGAGGAGGAGGAGCAGAGGGAGATCTCACTGCAGCCAGGTTCTCATTCATACCAGGCACCGTGGAGACAGACAGGCAGGGAGACAGACAGCCGGGGACACGTGTGATTATAAACCGCGGGATCTCTACTGCAGAGTCCGGATCTGTCCTCTGATGGAGCCTCTGTCTGTCTGTCTGTCTGTCTGTCTGTCTGTGTGTGGATAATGCCGGCAGAGACGGACAGAGGGACCCGGCTGTCCCGCAGGGTGACGGAGGACACCTCAGCCGCTCCTCCGGTAACCGGGAGGACTGCACGGTTTAACGGAGCAGCAGGTTGGACCTGAAGGGACGATGACAGGGTGAGGACATGTCTGATCGGCGGGTGTGAATGAATGTGTGTGTTGAGGTGAAAAACAGAGAGTGAGCAATGAAATAAAAACCCGAGCAGCGTGTCAGAGAGAAGAGTGTGACACCAACCCTGCTGTGCGTCATTATGTCTGACTGACATGTTGAACTGTGTGAGGACCATAGACTGTATAGGTGAGGACACACTGAGGAAGTGAGTGTTCATAGTGAGTTGTAGAAAGTCTGACGGAACTTGAATGCAGCTTCGTAGTCACGTGACACGGAGGCTGTTCCAACAACAACAACAGCTGCGGAGAGAAGCTGTACTTTTTTCATGGTTTTACGATCTGCACACATGTTGTCCTCTCCTGTCTTCTGTGTCCTCGTTGTGTCTCTGCTCTCTGCATCTGAAGGTGAGCTGTGTGTCACACACACACACACACACACACACACACACACTTGGAGCTGCTCATGTACACACTTCAGGGTGAGTCATCAGAGAGGTGTGTACATAAATAGACTGCATACGTCACTGTTGTTGGGTCAGAAACATGGCAGAATGTGTTCGTGCATCAAAACAGGGAAGTTCAACAGATGTTTAAACATCAGTACGAACTGACGCACGCTTTCCTGCAGCTGTGGTTCATATTTCCTCCCTGCTGCTCCTCCTACTGTCAGCTCTCCGTCCTGTCTGACATGTTGTTGTTTGTTGTTTGTTGTTGTTTTAATGGCTAATGTACCATCAACAGTTGAAAAGCAGCCCTTTAGCTCACACTGGCACTTTTATGTCCCTTAATATGAGCTGTCCACAAAGAGCAGCAACAGGATCGGAGACATGGTGGAGTTCATGTTTTCACGTGTTTTTGTCTCAAAATGAGTTTGTCTGTTTTTTCACAGACTCAAACTGCTCCCTCCTGTGGAGTTGTTGGAGTCTGTCCTGCTCGCAGTAAGAAGAACTGAGCAGCCTCTTGCTTTCTACCCAACTCTGTGTTTTCTGTTTCTGTTTCAGACTCACAAGAGATGAAGGTGAAGGCTGAGCAGAACGTCACCCTCCAGTGTCACGCTCGCACTGATGCCCCCATCACTCTGCTGGAGTGGAGCAGACCTGCCCTGGAGACAGGTGATTACGTCTTCCTCTACAGGAACGAGCGCTCATATGAAAGGTATCAGCATCCGTCTTATCGTGGTCGAGTGGTGCTGAGAGATCCAGACATGAAGAACGGAGACGCTTCTGTGATTCTGAGGAACGTCAACATCAACGACACCGGAACATACAAGTGTGAAATTACAGTCAGCAACACAGGACACAGTCAGACACCAGACTCTGAGATCCAGCTCCTCAAACTGAAGGTTACAGTTGACTCAGGTGAGTTTGTAGAGCTCAGACTCAGGCGAGTTTGTAGAGCTCAGACTCAGGTGAGTTTGTAGAGCTCAGACTCAGGCGAGTTTGTAGAGCTCAGACTCAGGTGAGTTTGTAGAGCTCAGACTCAGGCGAGTTTGTAGAGCTCAGACTCAGGCGAGTTTGTAGAGCTCAGACTCAGGCGAGTTTGTAGAGCTCAGACTCAGGCGAGTTTGTAGAGCTCAGACTCAGGCGAGTTTGTAGAGCTCAGACTCAGGCGAGTTTGTAGAGCTCAGACTCAGGCGAGTTTGTAGAGCTCAGACTCAGGCGAGTTTGTAGAGCTCAGACTCAGGCGAGTTTGTAGAGCTCAGACTCAGGCGAGTTTGTAGAGCTCAGACTCAGGCGAGTTTGTAGAGCTCAGACTCAGGCGAGTTTGTAGAGCTCAGACTCAGGCGAGTTTGTAGAGCTCAGACTCAGGCGAGTTTGTAGAGCTCAGACTCAGGCGAGTTTGTAGAGCTCAGACTCAGGCGAGTTTGTAGAGCTCAGACTCAGGCGAGTTTGTAGAGCTCAGACTCAGGCGAGTTTGTAGAGCTCAGACTCAGGCGAGTTTGTAGAGCTCAGACTCAGGCGAGTTTGTAGAGCTCAGACTCAGGCGAGTTTGTAGAGCTCAGACTCAGGTGAGTTTGTAGAGCTCAGACTCAGGCGAGTTCAGAGTCCTGTATCCCTCACACCTGTTTTCTGCTCTGCAGGTCACATTGGTGGAAACAAGGATGGAAATCTTGGACTCTTTGTTGGTGTGCCAGTTTCTGTTGTTCTTGTTCTCATTCTTGGTATTGTTGGTTCTTTCATTTTTATTCAACGCCCATGCAAAAAGAATCATTCATACACATCTGCTGAAAAAGCAGGTGAATCAGGGACTTGAAGCATCTCAGATCTCTTTACTCCTGACGATGTTTGTGTTCTGCTGCTGCTACAGAAAGATAAAAAAAAAAAAATTCTTAAAGGATCAGTGCGCTCAAATTAACAGTTACAGTAGAATAACAAACAGCTGCAGAAAGTCGACAGAGAGCGTGCTCAGATAAAAGAGTTACAGCCAGGTCGAGGACAGGTGTTGAGACATAATGAATATAGAAGAGCATTCAGCAGCTAAAGAGACAGATACTTTCCTCAGGATTTGGTGGATGGAGACCAAAACCAGAGCTAAAAGAGAGATAGCGATATCCATCAGGTGACACAGACACAAAGCCTCGTAATCATCCAATCATGATGTTGCTCTGCAACTGCTTGGTGCGGAATTAAGCAGCTGTTTGCTAAGACGTTCAACATATCAGCTTAAAAGATGACGACAGGTTGATGTTGTGTTCGCTGCTTGTTTTGGGTTTTTTTTGCTGAAAACAAATGGACCAGAAGCATCAGGTTGAGCAGGTTTAATATTATTAACTGCATCTTGCTTTAAATCAGACTGACAGCTTATCAATAGCCAAACAGACAGAGTCAGCCACGCAGGATAAAACTGCATCATCTGCATAAAGACGCACTTTAATTCACGCACTAGCACTTTTATCTTAAGGTAGGTGGGACAGGAATTTTCCATTTTTATTGTATTAGCATTTCACACGTTGTAAACTGCGCAACTTATTAAGCACTTTATTCTCTAAAATTTAGAGCTGTAACTTTACGAAACAATTTATAAAATATATTTTGCAAGACATATGCTAATGACCAGATTATATTAATCAATTTCTCAATAAATAATAGTATTATGCAAAGGTAATACTTCCTGTAATATATAAGTATATAATTATTTATTATTATTATCATTATTATTATTGTTATATAATTGTTACAGAAAATTAAATGACCAAAATAGGAGGAACACATTATATTTACATACAGTATAGATACATATATATATATATATATATATATATGATTAAAAAAAACTCTTATGTTCTTCTTATGATCTTTTCAAAGTATTCCAACTTGTTATTACAGTGTTAGTGAACATGGTCACCATTTCATACTGTGTCATTGATTTTTTTTTTACATTTATTTTCTATATTTTTAGTGATTACCTTTTGATTTGACCCTTTTACTTTTACAGCCGTCTGACATCACTCCATCACTTAGTTTGTCGTCAGTCAGAAAAAGAACGTAGAGAATGTCAGAGCGGAGCGGGGAGCAGAGATGGAAAGAGTTCTGCCTGTGAGTGAAATAAAGAAAACAGCTGTTTGGCAAATTGTATTTTTGAAATGTAAAAGCTGTAAAATATAACGAAGAAAAGTTTGATATATTTAATACGACATAAACGTAAAGCAGCAGGACATGAGATCTTGTCAAGAGTAAAGACAATGACCACATTGAGACAATATTCTGCATTTGCTAGACAGCATGTAAACAGCTTTTTCTGTTTGGATATTCTGAATTAGGCTTCAATCTGAATGTAGCACTCCGTGATTAACACGTGGGATTTGCAGATTTAATTCACGTTTTAATAGCATTCTTTGGACATTTGAATGTGCAAACATGACAACAACAACGTTTTCAAGAAGGTGGTCAAAGGAATGAAAGAGAGAGGTTTTGTTTTCGTGGTCCAACAAGTTTATAATCTGGAGGACACTTTGACACAAGCAGCTCATTCAGCTTTTCCATATTGTGACGTGATAAACGCCTGCATGTGACCTGGAGTAGAAGTGGAAGTCATCAGCTGTGTTTAACAGCTGAGTCGGAAAATTTTCTTTTTTGGAATGACAGCAAGAAGCCACATTATTTACATGTAAACTCTAATATCCGTTCTTTCATATCATAAGCTGTTACTTTATGTGCTTCAGCATCTGAAAACTTCAGTGTGTTACAATCAGTTATGAAAGTTCATTAAGGATGATCGACGAATGAAACGAGCATCAGAGCTTCTCAGTCTCACTGCAGAGGTGAAGCTATTTTTTCAGTGCCTGTTTTTATGTTGCACTTTACAAGCACCTGTATAAGCTTTCTTTTTTTATGAATAAATATGTTTATCAGTGTTTACGTGTTTCTCTGTTTTATTAATACAGTCATTGTTCATAATGCAGACGAGCTGGAGTCGTGTCAGTGAAGCAGGAGAAGTGAGACTGAAGTTTGTTTACCAGAATCTGTTAGACTTTAGACATCAGGTCAGACGTGTTTGTGCAGGTTTATAAACCGCACATGCTCACTGCAGACGCTCCATGAAAACACTGATTGAAGATTTTCATGAAACCAAACCCCCTTTTTTAATTCTGTTATATAACCTGCATGTGTTTCTGCAGCAGCCCTTTGAAGTATTTACAGTCTTCTTTATTTAGGGTCCACACTATTCTTCTTCTTTCTTCTTTCTTCTTTCTTCTTCTTCCGAGGAAATCATACTTCCCATGGGTGAAAACTCACCAAACTTTGCACAAAGGTCCAGTCTCATGCCAGATATCCTCAGCTGTAAATTCAAGCCAATAGTCCTGATGGTGGCGCTACAGCAAGCGTCTAAAGTTCAAAACTTTGGAAATTCAAAACAAATCAACCATACGTGCTACAACTTCATAACTTTCATCAAACTGTAGCCCCAATACTGAAGAAACTTTTGTACATTTAAACCTATTAAAAATTATGAAGTCCATCACTCTGTTTTTTTCAAAAACTGTACAACATCTTAAACCTATCTCCTCCCACAATTTTTGCTCAACTGACACCAAACTTGCTACAGAGCATCTTCAGACTGTCCTACACAAACTATGTTTTTCAGATTTTTGATTTATCGAAAATTGAGCCTACAGTGCATCAAAATGTTTGACTGTAAACGGTACTGTAAACATATACATGCAAATTCTTGCTAAATAAATCTTCAATGTTGGTGAAAAAAATGACAAAATTCTAGAGTCATGGTAGATGATGTGTGGCAAATTTCAGAATTTTATCTCAAAAACTGAATTTTTGACAGCATTTTGAATTTTGCTCTAATGTGAACAATTGGAGTCAATGTAAAAATGGCAATTTTAAACATCGGTTTTTCACTTATGGAGCAAATCAATCATTGTTACAAACAAATTACCAACATCTCCATGCTGTCTAGATGCAATATGTGTATTTTCAGATTGTTGTTTCGATAACTGAATTTTTTTACAGTGGTTTGAAATCTGCTTTTCCATGCATGGACGGCTGCTAAACCTGCACGTCGCTGTGCAGCAGCTATAATTAGTGTTTGTTTCTGCTGAACAGAGTCAAGTTATTTCCTCTCCACTTGCAGAAGCAGAACTAAGATGGTGTTTTTGTTCATCCTTTCTCAGTCTGTCCTCCTGTGAAACTTTGTTTTTGACACAGATGAAGCCTGAAATGTTCTCAGCTGTTTTCTAGAATCAGAAAGACGAGCTTGAGGTCGACAGTCTGCAGCTTCTTCTTGTCGTTTCTGTTTGAAGTTTTAGTCCACACCATCAAAATAAGCCACACTGTTGCTTCAGATCTGTCTGTGGTTTATCTCTGTTGACCACGTGGTGATCATTTCAGCTGAGTCACCAGTGTGCACGTGCCCCGATCATGAACACAGCGTGACTGTCAGCAAGACGAGAGAATTCAAGAGTTTGTTGTTTCCTCAGACAACAAAGATAAAGTGTTGAAAAGGACCAAAACTGAAACCTCTTTCCCACTGGACAAGAGAATGCTACACCCACTAACACCTGGCCTTTGTCTTTAAAACTAATAATGATATGAAACTTTATTTATAAATCAGCTTTAATACAAGAAATGCAGCACAGAGCTCTTTACAATAAGAGCAGTTTGGGGTGTCACTGACAAGGGCTGCATCTCTGATCATCTTCCAGTAAACCAGCAGCAGATGATCGCAGTGTTCTTGGAGGCAAACGAGGGAGCTAGTGATGTAGCAGTCAGTAAAAAGACATGAAATAAAGACATGAATTAATTTCTCTTCATCTTTCTCATTTGGAAATAGTCGAGCCTTAGCCATGTTTCTGTTATGGTCACCTTGTTAATGTGGGACTTGAAGCTTAGATCCGAATCAAGGATCGACCGAGACTTGTCACCTCAGATTTAATCCAGGGAGTTTAATTCCGAGATCATTGAGCAGCATCTCTTTTTGTTTTAGGGCCCACAAGCAGGATTTCAGTTCTCTCTTCATTTGACTTCAAGACATTTGAGTGGAAAAGGTTACGTTCGGCATTCATCCCTCAACTCTGTCTCCGAGAAATAATGTCTGTTTGCATGTCACTAAACTGCTTCTTGATTATGTTTTTGTGGTGTAATCACTGCCACCCGTTGTCTACCAACAACGAACCGGGTCTCAAACCTTATTTTGAACCATTTAGAGCATTTTGACCAAAAACAAAGTGGCTCCGAAACTGGAAAGTTGGTTCTCAGCTGTTGCAGCTGGCAGGTTTTCCTCGACCTGAAGTGCGATCTGTGACAACATCGGAGGTCGTGTCATATTCTACAGGTTGGAGAGCTGGATTATGTTCAGAGAGAACGTTCTTCCTTGATAGAGGTGCTTGGGTAGGAATTTTTCAGTTTGCCACATACGTTCATCAGCAACGTTTCTTCATCATGATAATAGAAATCACCATTTTCTCAGCGTTTCTCTCAGAACGTATTTACTGTTTTAAATTTGTTCTAATTAATTTCCAGGAGACAGGGCTGCATCCCTGGCTCTGATTGGCAGTGAGACATTCTTGGGCTTAATGGAGGTTTTCCTGTGTTTTAAAAACACAAATATAACTTCTAATTTTAATGCAACTGAGTGTAACAGAAACACGAAGCTGTAAAAACTGCAGGATAAAGACTGACAACAAACAGATTCCAGATTCCAGATTAGAGTCTGGTCATCATGTGTCGGGTGTGGCTGCAGGATGTTTGTGCTTGATTGTTTGGTGCGGTATTTGAATTTGTCTTTCACTTTCAAATTCCAGGATGTTCGTTTGTCTGTGGGTGGAGTGAGTTTCCTCACTGTGAACATGACTGTAAAGAAAGGCGTCAGCTTCTTAGGAAGTCAAAGTAAAACAAAAAGCTCAAAGACAATAACATCAATGATGAAACACTTGCAGCTGACAGACATTATTATATATTATTATAGATACTGTCCTGCATCTGGTAAACTGCACTTCATGAAAAAGACGTCTTTAAACAGTGTCTCCTGTCTCTTGTCCCCTGTGGTGATTTGATGGTGTATTTCATTGTTTGTTTTATGATACTGAAAGTTGTGTATTTTAATTGCACTGTGTGTGTCAAAGCCCGACTAGACACCAGAGTTGAAACTAGTGATCACTGTAAACACTGTTAAACTGCATCAAAATCAAAAACATGAATTTAAAATTCAACGGTTGTTGAAGCTGCAGGTGCAGATGTGCTGATATACTGCCACCTGCTGGCTGCTTCCTGTCAATGCTGACACTCCATAACACATACTTATATTACTGTGAACAATGATGAGAGATTTGTCCTCTGTGTCGTTCAGTCTCCTAAAAACTAAAACAGAGAAACACTCTCATGTGTTCAATTACTCTGATTACAATAATGCATTACAATAATGGCCAAAGGTAAATTTAAAGGTAAGAAACTATCATAGTTTTTCATGCAATGCTCAAGATTTTGTGCGATTTTGTTTCCAACATGTCTTCTGTCAGATTAGAGGAAAAATACACATTCAGGTGTTTATTTGGGTTCAGACTTCAGTTCTAAAAATTTCTGTAGATAGAGAGATTTAATTATGTAATGCTATATTTTAACATGTCAAGAAACATTTTTTAATTAGATATGGAATATATGCTTGAATTAATGTACTCACTTACACATCTAGTCATGTAGTGAATGTATATCACTGTGATTAAATGTTTTCTTTTAAAAATAGAGTGAGATTAGGCCCCAACATGTTGGAAGGACAAGTTAGACGCGCCTGTCTCACTGTTACTTTCTGGTCTAAGTTGGAAGGACAAAGAAAACAGAGGTGAAGGTTCAGTGGAATCACCACGGGCAAAGAAGGCAGAGAGTGAACACATTAAACTCGGTTGCACCTGATTCTACTTTAAGTGTCTCCGCTGACTTCCTGAGTACTGCTTTCTTGATTCCAAGATACATTTTTAACAGAAAGACGAGTTCAGTCAAAGGTCCGGAGTCACCTGGCCCAGCTCCAGACCTCGGTTTTTACCTCTTCAAGCTCTTATATTGACCAGATTGTCCAGTCTGAGTCCTGTCTATATTCTAAAGGTTTCCACAGAGGGCTTCGTTCATATATCATTCACAGCCTGTTTCAGAGAACATTAACACTTGATCTAATATTCAGATTTTTGTTGTTCTGGGAATGTAGGAAAATTCTGATATTTTTTTATTCGATACTGCCTCATTTGCAGATTTAGAATTTTTTAAAACCTGTAATGCAAAAAGTAATTGTCTTCATGTAATTAATTAGCGTGTAATGCATGTTTTTATAAGGGTACTTGCTATGATGTATGATGTATATTGCTCAGTTTACCCCTACTGTGACAGCAGTGAGAAATACAACAGAGGCCTGATGGGAATAGGGTTAAAGGGAGGTTCCCACAACAAGTGTTCTTGCTAGCCTCAAGAGATGTTGTGTCTTAGGGATGTCAAACCACCTGAGCGCCATACATTTTGACTTTTGTGTTATGGGAATTATACAGATAGCGCTCACTCGTTATGGGAACTGTAAGGATAAAAGGGTGAGAGGACATCGCCCCTCATTCACTGACTGACTGTTGTGTGGTTGTATCTGTGTGTGAGTCCATTCATGAATGCTTCATAAAACTCAAGAAAGACAGTCGACGTGTGAAGACTTTTTCTTTAAACTGTTCATTAAATAGTAGTTTTGCCACCACAAAATTGGCGACCACGAAGGAACCTCATCTGTGAGCGGATTCTGGAATTCTGGACTGAAGGTGTGAAGACTGTGCGCACAGCAAGAGCTGAGGCTCTTACACCTCAAACTCCCCCACAAAGGAAGGTTGAGAGGAGGGCCTGACGTCTGGAAAACCAGGATTCCCTTCACCGTTGG